ACTTTTAACAGCAAAACCGGTGTCGCTACACGGTCATTGCGTAGATAAAGTACTAGAGAAGATGACTTTTTGTTTTTGCAAAATGCGTGATTTTTGTTTTTTGATTTTTGAAACTGAATTTTATGAATATGTTAATGATGGAACTAGATAATACAATTTTACACACGTATTACCTTAATACAGTGGAAGCTTGCTTCAAAAATTTGGGTTCCAATGTGATGTTCTCGGGCAAGGAGAGGTCTATTTGTTTTTCACCAAAATTGGAATTTTGGCCTGATTCAGTCGAATCCATGCCCAGTTGATCAATTGCCCATTCCTCACCAATGACAACCTCCGGAAGCCCCAAAGTTCCAGGGACTATTGCCAAGACCAATCCAAAGAGCCAGGTACAATGTGGAGCTTGTGACGGGGTTGGTCACACCAAGCGATGGGCGAAGTGTCCATTCAAACTTCAAAATTTGACACCAACCCATGATCGGAATCAACGGGTTCAAATTCTACCTCCACCAAGCCTACCAGACGACGCTAATGTTGTACACTTTGTCCATGACATTGAATCAACCGGATTGGACAAAACTAATGATGAAATCATTGAGCTTAGTGGCACTACATTGGATAAGTATGGAGATGAAATTCCCGGGACTCCATTTTTTGAGTCACTGATCAAACCAAGACGTGGTGTTGGCAGCTCTGTTGAGATCCAGATGTTGAAAGATGCAAAGGACTTCAATACTGTTGATAAAGAGTTGATGACCTGGATCAAAGGGAAAATTTGCAATGACCCTTGCAAAAAAGTTTGTTTAGTTGCATACAATATGACAACCCATTTCTGCTGAAGCAATGTGAAATCCATGGCGTGGAGATCTGCCCCAATATTACTCTTGACTTTGATCCATATTTATGGTTTCCTTATGGGCAAGTTTGTCCCCACAATTTCCAGCTTGCGACTATGTACAAATACATCACTGGAAAGAACCTCAAAGGGGCTCATCGAGCTTGGATTGATGTAGAAGCTTTGGTCAAAGTTTTCAAACCTCCTCCCATTTGGTCCAAGAGAAATGTTTTATGGGCCCACCTAGAATGGTGCAAGGAGAGCCCAGCTTTCCCCGAAGAAGCTCTGATGGTTGTGGGGAGGACGAAACCTGTTGGGCCCCTGAAGTATCTGTGGACTTGCCGCCGGCTGAAGATGGCCCTTTCATGGAAGCTGATGAGCGCTACCAACTTGCTGAGCCGGATCCTGGTGATGAAGATGTTGGCGAAGATGAAGGGCCTCAAGAGTTTCAACAAGAAGGATGGATCCAATTCAGGATATTTGAAGGTGTTGATTCTCCATCAAAATTCATTAAGAAGCGCCGAAGTCTTGTACTGTCAGGATCGAGTTAGCCGTGTTACGACTTACTAGATCGTCTGTCCGTATGTCCTCATACATCACATCATTCATCACGTTCATCTAGACACTCTATGAGTTACTGACGATTAACAAGTCGCTTTGCAGTTCTACCAACTAAGCTCATTGTTGGCTAAAACAGCCAGTCTGGTCCTCAAAAATGTGACAAGCTGGTTCTGACCCAGCTACCGGTATATCCTATCTATTTGTCACGCCTGAAGACCACTTTTAATCCATATAAACCTGGATTTTCCACAAGTACTTTGTTAGTCCCAACAGTACTTCATTAGTTCTTCCACGCGCACATGAATTCCCAACACTCATATTATGCCTTCAACTACACCCGCTGACAATAGTTTCGTCACTCCTAGCAAGACTGTTGATTTTTTTGGTGAAAATCCTGAGGAAACTGACAATACAGTTGATGAAAATGTTGCCGCGGCACTTCCTCCTGTGGTGCATGACAAATTCACCAAACCGGAGGCGTTGCTCATCACAAAGATTGTCTTTAACAAGGAGAATCCGACCAAACCGATGTTTGACGCGCTTCAGACTTTCTTTGACCACATTTGTGTTGAGAAACCGTCTGATCTTGAAGGACAGGATGTGGATGACTTACTCAGTCATGGAGAGGATGCCCTCCCGGATGGCGGCCTAATTCGCGGTGTCATCACTGGGCGCCTCAAGAAGTTTCTCCTCTATGCATCTGCCCCTTCAGTGGTCATCAATCCCAGTCTTACCTACAAAAAGATTGTGCAATTTTCGATTGACCAAGCAAAACAAAATATGCATACTACTCCTATTGATTTGACAAAAGCGACTGGCAAACGTCAAGGCATGAAGTTTTGCTGTCCAGAGGTCGAACCATTCAGTGGCGAATCTACTGTATATTGGCCTTGGACATCTAAGGTTGCTTTGGAATTTGGACAATCTGGTATAGAACTTGCTCTAACGGATGCAAAGTTCCATGAACAATCTACTTGGCACAAGGATGCATCAAGTCAGGGTTTCTACGCAATCGCAAAAGCTCTGAATGATGGTACCGCTAGCCATATTGCCGATGAAGTGAAAGAAAAGAGGGGACAAACTGTGGCCTACGATCTTTACCAACAATTACTAGAGACCTACAACTCTCCGGAGGATCAGGCCCATTTTGTAATGTATGCAATTGACGAGTTGACTTCCATCAAGTTGACTCACGAAGTTACAGTTCCTGATTTTATTTCCAATTGGAAGTCTATTACTACAAGATTGCGGAAAAGTAATCAATCACTGGCAACAAGCCGTGAGCTTCTCCGTGTTTTCCTCCTCAAGGCAATTGTCTCTGATACATACAGTGACATGAGACGTTACATTGTGAAGTACCCGTTAGCTTCCATTGACGAGTATCTCAAACAATTACGCTCCCACAGTAAAACACAAGCTCTCATTGACGAGGACTCCCCTGTCCTAAACGACGGTGCTGTGGTGGCTCGCCGTGGAGCAACGGACAAGAGCTACAAGAAGAGGACCGGTGTCAAATTTGATAAGGATTATTCGAAAGAGTATCCAAAATGGCGCATTCCTCAGTTTCCAATCGGTTGGGACAAGAGTTTTCCGAATGGTCTCTTCAAGAGGATGTTGACCTGGCGTGAAACATGCCACGGTACCAACTTACAACCCGGAAAAATCGATCGAGAGTTTGGCATGAGACCAAAGTACATTGGTGTCAAACGAAAAGATCGTAGAGGAGCTACTAAAGATGGTGAAGACGGTGACGAAGGTCCTTCTGACGCACAGCCAAACAAAAGTGGAAAACAATGGCTGATCCAGTCCTACTACAAAAAACTGCGGACGGATCGTCGCGGAAAAACGTCTCAAGCCCACGTTACCATTACAGAGTGGTGACAGGGACGCGGAAGTGCCCAACAACAACAAAAACGGGCGCTCCGCCGTCTAACACCCATGCCCCATCCCACCGAATCCATCCTGATTACCAACAGTGGCGCCGACCAATTCTTGGCAGGCTATGTTTGGAGGAGGCTTGGAATCACTGGAAGACACATTGCACTCACAGGGCCTATTGCACGTCGAGACATTGGTACTGTCTTACCAGTGTCATCAGTTGCCGCTAAGATAATTGATGAACATGGCAACACCTATTGTGGTAAAGCCCATGAAGTCCTCCACGACACTAACCCACACCAACATGAATCTTTACTCCCTCCAGCTCAAGCCCGCGCGGCTGGTAACGCTGTGGATGAGTGCCCATCTGATGCACTAACACCAAGAGGTGACTATGGAACTCAATGTTGTGTGATTAGTGGCCATACACTTCCGTTATTCTTTGATGGATTCAAGTGTTATTACAGCGTGGAGGCCATCACAGATGAAGAAATGAGAACTTTGCCGGAAATTGTATTCACCAGTGATGAGGAGTATGAGCCTTCTGCCCGCAGTAAATCTTGACGCTTCCCAGCAGAGGAGATTGATTGGAAGCGAACGATGGCTTTTCCTCCGGATGATGTCCTGAAGCACACCCTCACCGCGACCACTCAACTGGTTCCCACTGTTGAGGCGGAAAGTCTTGAGATTATGAGAGACCATTTGAAGTCCAGACTAACATGTCTGCGTTATCGGCGTCGTCGGGATGTCGATTTTCTTGATACCTTCAAGGCCAACATCAAATCGGTTTGTGGATTTTTGTACTTCAATTTATTTTCAAGTCAGAGGTCCAGATACGACCACCCCATTCTGATGCAGCGCAAGAGTGAATCCCCGGAAACACTCGAGGCGCATTTTGACCACTGTGGAACCCCCCACACTTTGAAGTCAGATAATGCAAAAGAATTCCATTCCACGCAGTTCCATTGCCAATTCTGAAAGTACCAAGTGTCCTCCAAGTACACTGAACCACACCACCCGAATCAGAACCTTGCTGAGCCAAGAAGTGGAAGGTTGAAACATGTGGTCCAACACATTCTGTTGACTACTGGTGCTCCTCCCAAGTATTGGTGTTACTGTGTCGAATACGTTGCTTTTGTGAAAGCAAGAACTTCCAAGAGATCGCTACGCTTCCGAACCTCTTGGGAATTTCAATTTGGAGGTGTTCCGGATATAAGCAAATGCAGATTCTCTTTCTGGCAACCTGTATGGTTTTACACTCCTAGAGGAGCGTTTCCAAGACAGAGGATGATGAAAGCGCGGTTCCTGGGATTCAGTCTTGACTCTGGTGATGATTTTACATATGTGATAGTCACTGATCCTGATTCTGACAAAGAACCACGTCGGATCTTTACCCGCTCCGTCATCCGCCCGCGGCATGTTCGCGAGGCCGCACCTGTTGTGGTCCGAAAGGGGAAGACAAAGTTCGAAATTTACAAGAAGGATGAACGCACCATCTTGGAGGGAATAGCTGATCCTGATTTTCCGCCTCGACTTTCTGAAAGGGCGCCGAATCCACTATTGACCATCCAAGAGGAGCCCGAACCCTTGGACACTGTAGAGGAGTATGAAAGAGCTATCGAAGAAGTATATGGAACACCTCCTTCGAAACGACTTCGTACCGACCCTACGTCCGATGATGCTTTGTTACGAACTGATCTAGAGGAGCTCCAGCCTCTCTCTGTTAAGACCGTGACAAACTCTGCTTCCAAACTACCGAGAGAACAAGCAGAACCTGCGATTCAGCCACCAAGGGATCAAGAGATTGCAGCAGCTGTGCCTGCTGCCACTGTCGAAGCAACAACTGATGGACCGAGCAAACCGGCTCAGTGTCCAGCGCCGGTAACACAAGAGGAACACACCCAAGTGACAGATCAAGGTGAACATGCCTCAGAATCAGATGATGATGCTTCGGTTAAGTCAGCTGGTGATGACTTGGTTCATTCTGCCGATGGAGACATCGATGATCACCATGTGACACCGGAGTCGCTTGACGTTCATCTCCAAAACATAGCTGGTATTTCGGATGATGAAGACCACTTTGATTTGGTTAATGGGCATGAATTTTATAAGGGAGTTGTTGGACGTATTGACATATTGAGCAATCATATTGGTCGATTATTGATCAATGGTCTATGTGACGTGACGCGGCAGTGACGTGAGTGTCGTTCGTGCGTAATATGAAACGCAGTATGTCAAAGCGTGTCATCACGTAGAAAGGTGATCAAGAATGAGAATCGTGAGAATTTATAAGATTATTTTGAACTGCAATCAAGAGTCTCACTATCGATTGAGTTCTGGCAAGAATAGTATTGTGGACGTTGAGGTCCAAACAAGTATAGGAGATAATAAAGTAAGACCTTTGATTGAATAAGACTACTGCTTATTCCAGAGGCTGAGGCCCAGAGTCGCTGGTGCCCAAAGGCAGACCATAGCCGACGTAGATTCGATCTCAGGGATTGCTCATTGAAACAGACAGGGCGTTGAGGCTCCCATTCAGGTCTGTAGAGCAAGTCCATCTGACACTCAATCGATAGTGAGAAAGTTTATAAAAGAGACAATGACGCGCCGCAACCAAAGTACAAGAGGAGTTCGCGGCGGCAATCGATTCGGTGGAAATCGCCAGACGAGTGGCAATTCACAGAATACAAAAAAGAAAGAAAAACGATCGCCCAAGTATCATCCGAGCGACCCAGATTTTCCTTATGCCGATGTAACAAGAAGCCTCATCGAACGAATTGGAATGGAGGGATTGGAGTATCCTCAGATTATGATATCTTCCATCAAAGAATTGAATGAGCCAGACTGGGATGGTTTGAAACCCAAATTGGATTTAACCGGTCAAGAAGACGAAATTGAGAAAGAGGCAAAGAAAGAAGAATTGAAGACGGAGAGTGTCGAATACCATCGACAAAAGCGATACTGGAGCAAAGCGAAGTGGCATGTTCATTCGCTGATTATGGAGTCATTTGTTACCAGTAAAATGAAGGACAAGATTATACAGGAGGTCGATTACAACGAGAAAATCGAGGGTGATCCTATTGAATTATTGAGACGCATCAATAAATTTATGACGACCAGTGATGTGACAGACTGGGAACCCATTACATTGTGGGAAGCACTACAGAAGTGGGTGAATTGTCGTCAGAAAGGAAATGAAACGGTGATTGAATACCGTAAACGATTTGAAGAATGCGCAACTACAGTATTATCTTTCATTGGTGATTCGTGGCTAGATGTGTTTGCCGCGAAAACAACCGCATATCATGAAATTGAAAACAATCACCCGACTAATGGCTTGTCGGATAGAGAAAAGAAGCGAGTTGCCGCAGAAGTTGAAGCACTTCAAGAAGAGTTTCAGGAAGAGTTTGTAAAGTTGTTCTGTGCTGCTGGGTTATTGCACAACTATGATCGTGCACGATACCAGCCGGTACTTGATCATTTTGTTACTGCATACGCTGTGGAGCATGTGGATTATGCTCAGCGAGATTTGTTTCCGAGAGATGTGGAAACTGCAGCCAAGGCGCTACACAATCATCAGGTAAAGAAAACATCAACACCGAAACCTAACAACAACAACAACACGAATGATAAAGCAAACACTCCACAGAATGGTACTAACCTTGCACAAGATTACAACAAGGAGAGTAAGCGTAAATGTTTTTAC